GTAAGATCTGTGGGAAACGTCAGGAACGTTAAAATTTCAGCGGTTCCATCAAGGAGCCGATAATAGATGACACAAGATAATAGAAGGCACAAGAGATAACAGCCGCTTAATGAGTTGAGGGGTAGAAGTTGAAGCTTGTATATGAGCGTTGCATCATGACGCTATACGATTAAATGCTAAACTCTAACGGTTTCTCTGGAAATTTCGGGCGTCGTAAAGCGAGCATTTAGAAGGAGCCAAGCACGTAGTAAGTACATGAGACCGGTATGTCGGGACCTACACCTTGACATTCGACCGACAAATAGAGAAAATCGTGTCAAACATATCGTGACTTCCTCGACCTAAATTCGACTGAAAATGCGGCGGACCCGAAAACATCGAAAATTAGCTGCTGAATTAAGTTGCGAGAACACGAAATTTCATATCTCTTCGTCGTGTTTCGAATAATTTAAACTCAAGCTTGCAAAAATATCTGACGTCGAGAAGTTAGAATTAACAGGGGTCTGGGAACTCTCTCTGACGTGTGGGAAAAACAACGTTACGAAAATATATAGACAACATTGTTAAAAGAAAAGAATTTATTTCCCATCCTCTATATTGTTTGTAGCAAATTCCGACAAAAATTTTACGAAACTTACCCTTATTTTCTTAAAACGGGTACTTTCTTCATATATTACATGTTCATATACCAAATGTTTGAGTATCAATCGTAACTGCGAATACATTGTAACTGTGAATAATTGTAACTGTGTAACACTGTGAAAACTTGTAATTGTGAATGGAAAGTTGACTTAGGAGATTCTTATCTCTACATATACTCAAGTATTAACCGAACTTTTGCAAATTTATGGAATTCCTCTCTTGACATTGTCAAAGACATAAATTAATGTTATGTTTCTAATCGTGCAGGAATAAATTGTCAGTAATATCTATCTCGTTAACATTAGATTTGACGGTCAATTTTTTTGACGGGAGAAATTTCCGAGAGAAATTTCCGGAGAAATAGGTACAACATAGAGAATTTCAAAATTAGAAGTCTGAGGAGTAAATCAATAATTTGGATATATATTGGATATATATTTGTATCATTTCATTAACAAAAGTCAACAAAAATTACTAGAAAATAATAATAATAGTTTCTGTAATTTTGCTCGTGAAATCCGAAACCCATCAAATCGACTGGTCTCATAAATCTAGTACTAAAAAACATAGTAAATTTCGCTACACTGAGAAAAAATACTTATATGCACAGTTTATTCCTAGAAATAAATTTTATTTCGCAAAAATTTGTATCCCACAAATAAATGTTCAAATATTTTTTTCTCAGCGTAGAAACAGCAAATTTTCCATAACACATTTCAGCTGCATACGGAGATCTTAAAATCACATATTTCACAACAAATTTTCACAAGTGTTATAATCATCCTTCAACTTTAAGTCGTTCTTAAGATCTTCTTCTTCTTTAAGACATTCTTCAGTTTTTTGTTACCTCGTGTCGATATTATTTACACACGTGCGTTCGCATCCGAGGTTCTCATTGATCCGATTCCTTTCCTAATTAACTATTTCCGTCGGGTATGCTCGGCAACAATAGATTTCAAGTCAATTTATTTATGTGCAGCGTACACTTACACACCCCTACCGCGCGCACCTTTCACGTGTAACTCGGCAGACATTCACATTAGACGACCTACCGAGGTATTCGGCCTGCTAATTAATTACGTGAGCACAGTGTGCCGTCGTTAATTACCGTTCGCACGTCCGACCATTCCCCCATCGGCACGACGAAATAACGCCACGACCGAGGCATAAAGTTTCGGAAAGATACGAGCGTAACGAAGTGGTAATGCCATCGTGGTGGCTGCAGAACGCGTTATGCTTCGGCACACACCACTGGCCACGCACTCTTTTTCTCGGACGAGTGTAACGCGAAAAAAGAGATCGTGCAAAATCGTGACATCGTTCCTACTCGCGGCCCGTCGGCGAACATTAAAATCTTAGCCGACGCTGAACATTTCATTTCATAAATCAGGAATGAGCGAAATGCTCGCCGCTCGACGGGAATTCATAATTGCTAATGTGCGTAATTGCACTTGTGTGTCAGGACTAGCGATTCATTCGATTTGGTTTTTAAACAAAATGATCTTTCCCTGACGGAAATTAATGGTTTTCAATCGATTTTTTCCTAACTCATTCTGACATCTCATCGATCCTTTCTATAGAAAATCGATTTTCGATTCGTTGATATGCCCAATCGTAGATGTCGTCATGTGTAATATAGAATTCACACAGAATTAACAGAGAATAGAATCACACAGTATATTGAAAGGAAAAATATCTAAAAATAATAAATATTTATTCAACAAATACTAATAACTAAGTTAAAATAACACTAAGTTAAATTTACATATTTATATCTTATCTTAGAGAAATTCGCGATAAAGAAATTCTTAAATCTTAGAGAAATTCGCTTACCGTTCTAGCCGGACTCGAACTCGATTTCTGGATCCTCAATCAAAGTCATTCTTTATGATTCGCACTATGCTATTCACTTTGATTGATAGTATATTTCGAATTGTTTATAAGTGTCTATACACAAAAAGTATTCATACACGAAAAAGGCAACTCTGTTAGTGTAGCTGAATTTTCTGTTAGCCAAATGAAAAACTTGAAAATAGGAACAAAGAAACATTCTTTTAGAAGATTTCCATTCAGTCAATTATTTCAATCCAATTTTCGCTTCCTGAATGTTCAGACGAATGTTTTCGATCACGGTGACAAAGAGTATTATCTCTTGTCAATGCATTTTTTATCTAATACTCATTCAGTTACACAAATTTTTCATCTAATACTTATTCAGTTACACAAATTGGAATTCTTTTTCCGTGTACGAGCGATTTCGTCCTTTCTTTCTTTCTTCATTCTTCTGTCCTCTTTTTCTTTTTTTCTTCTCTCTCTCTCTCTCTCTCTCTCTCTCTCTCTCTCTCTCTCTCTACAGCCGCTATATGCAATACGCCAGCTTAACCGGCCTAACTGGACGATTCTTCTGGAAACCGGGAGAATTCTCTTCACTTTTACCGCGCAGCACTAGCGCAGACGGAAAAGTGCGAGCTACGCGCGCTGCAGTTTTTCACGCATAGTTACGTAGCCGAAGCCACAAGAACTCAGGCCCGTAATTTACGTATGCACTTCACGATATTCGGACTTAGTTCGTCACCTCCCAGACGCTTCTGATCGCGAATTCCGAGGACGTGTATTCCACATATAATAATCCAATTTGCTCAAAATTACACGCAAATAATGACTATTTTCAACAAAACATATTTTCCCAACGATAGCCTCAAAATATATTCATTATAGAAATGAAAAAGAAATCTTATTTTCACGTGCTTGAAAGAAGAATTTACTCTTTTTACAAGAATAGCATGAAACTTTATCGAGGAAAAACTTTTTATTTAATATCCTTGGTCGAAGTGCGAAGATCCAAAATGTATCTTAAATAAATTTGACACTTATGATGAATCTTTGATTCGCGGACACATAAACTCTCTCTTATGAAGTACTTGAAACAAATAAAATTTACTCGAATTTACAGTATGTATTTCTTTCTGTGTACAAAAGAATATTTTTCGATGATATCAAGAAGACGACTTTTAAAATTCGCGTTATAAAAGTCTTCATATCCAAATATTGGTTGGGCAAGAGAAAATCAGTAGGGAATCCACAGCATGAAGCGTCACATTATGTTTATTTGCAACTTATCTGAAACTTAAATTGGGCGATCTCGCGATACAATGGTGCGGTACGCGTTTTAAGAGTTTGCAGTTCGTATCCATCGCGTAAGCGCAGTCGCGGATCCTAACGACGATACCACGGCGTAACTCCGATTCCTACGACTTCTTTCGTTGTTTTGCTTTCTCTTTCGGAACTGGCATGCTCTAGTTCGTCCGAAGCCGTCCCATCTATCTATCGGTAGCACTTGCCATTGGCTCGCGACTCTGATTCTCTTCTCGATCCGATCGTGTCGGAACAGCGAGCAAACCGCGAAATCGAAGGAAACGCAAGAGACACGACGAAGTCCGCGTTTACCCAGTTTTGCGTCCCCGATATCGTTAAATATCGCTGTCTATATATCTTTAACGGTTCGTAACGCGTATTGTGCGGGCTTTCCTACATATATATATATATATATATATATATATATATATATATATATATATATATATATATATATATATATAT